CCTCGCCCTGCACTCCTCGCGTGGAGCATTGTTCACCCACGCCCGTGCTCTCTCACAGCGATGTGGCCGCCGCCCAAGCCTGCTCATCGCTGGAGTCTGAGACGACTACACTTCGCCAGGTGCCCACAGCGGCGCGAACAGAGATGCAAAGGGGGAGGAGGGGGTGAGGCCAGGACGGGGCAGAGAGAAGGGGATGCCGAACCCCCTTCGCCCCCTGAGGCGAGGGGCGAGACTACCTGCGCGCGAAGGCGGACCTCGGCACCTCGCTCAGCGCCCTGCCCTTCGTCAAGAAGAGCCGCTCGGCACGCTGCGCCGGCGTGCCCCCGCACTTTAGCCCCAGCGCCTGCAACCTGCGCTTCACGGCCTCCGCGGGCACCCGCGCCGCCAGCTCCTCCGGGCTCCCGAACCTCAGCATGAAGGAAGCAGGTCCTGACAGCAACGGGTCCTGGACCCTGGGACCTTCCCTCAGGACCAGTTCTTCATCCCGACTCGTTTCCTGACAGTCCTGTGGGGCCTCTGGACGGCCCGGGGAAGCGAGAAGAGCGGAGAAAAAGTCCCAGGACCCGTTTCCTTCAGGACCTCTTTCCCTCACGGCACGCACCCGTCGAGGGCGGTGGGCCCCACCCGCAGCTCCGCCGAGGGCGGCGCGGCCGCCGAGCCCACCGGGGCCCCGCGCTCCGCCGCCCGCGGGCCCTCGGGCCCTGCGGCGCCCTCGCCGGCGGGCCCCGCAGGCGGCGCGCAGCGGACCTCCTCGGGCCCCGCCGGCGCGCTTGCCGAGGTGGCCGCGCCGCTCGCCGCGGCCGCGCCGCTCCCGCCGCCGCCCGCGCGCGGGGGCCGCGCCGGCGCCGCGCGCGTCGGCGCCGCGGCTGCCGGCGCCCGCCGGCGGGGCGGCCGGGGCCGCGGGCGGGGCGCGGCCGGGGCGGGCCGCCCGCCTCGTCGGGGCCGCCCGCGGGGGGCGCGCCCGAGGCCGCCGCCGCCGCGGCCTCGGCGGGCAGCCCCGCCGCGGCTTCCTGCTCGGAGTCGCTGGTGGGCATCGTTTGACCGACCCCTATCCCCACGAACGTAGCCTGGGCCCCAATGGCCGATTGACCCCCAGGATGGGGATACAGGTCGTTCCTCTCGGGTTTCGAGGTGTGTGTGTGTGTGTGTGCCCCCAACTGGGGTGCAAGGATGCTGGGGGCCTGGATGGGGACGGGGATGGGGATGGGGATGGGGATGGGGATGGGTTAAACGATACCGAGCTGGTCCCGCTGAGCATCGCCAGCGCGTCGAGGGCCGCGGCCGGCTCCTTCCAGCCCAGCCCGCCGCCGGCCGCGCAGGAGCTCAGGGCCGCGGCCGCTGCGCTCCAGCCGTTCTCCTCGCCCTCGCTCTCGCCGCCCTCGCCACACGACGAGCCCTGCCGCTCGCCCTCGCCGCCGCGGAGGCTGCCGGCCTCCGTGGCCGCGCTGGCCGCGGTGGGCGAGAGGCGCGCCTGCTTTTGACGGGCGCTCGCGCCCCGCGACTGGGACCTCGTCGCGGGGATGCGGACCGCCCGGACCGCGAGGGGCCGGCTCGCCTCCTCGGAGCGCATGTGGAGCAGGCCGCAGCTGACCATGCCGCCGCGCCCCGCGGCGGCGCGCTTCAGCTTCCGCACGTACTCGGGCTTGAGGCTCTCGATGGCAGGCTGGGGCGCGGGCAGCTCTGGGCCCGTGCCCTGCAGGTCGGCCACTAGCTGGTCGTCGGCGTTCCGCTTCTCCAGCCACTCCCTGATGCGCTGCGGGGCCAACGCGTGCCTCAGGCGCCTCCCCGACAGATCGCGGCAGGCGTCCTTGTTCTTCATCTTCTCGGCTCTCCTGGAGAGCTGCCTGCCGCGCTTGCGCAGCAGTGCCCCGAAGCCGCCCTTGCCGCCCTGCAGCCGGAAGGCCACGCGCACGAAGCACGGCCGTCCGCCGCCCAGCGACGCCAGAAAGCTCGCCGCGGTGCTCTCCTCGTCGAGGTCGCGCCCGCGGTGGAGGACGCGGAAGTCATCGCCCGCGCCCTGCTCGTCAACGTCGCCCTCCTCGTCCGAGTCCCCGCACGCGCGCCCACAGCCGTCGCTGACCGCACCCGCCTCGAGGCCGAGCGGCGCTCGCAGTAGCTGCCGCACATAGGGCGCCACCTCTTCCGCGCGGAAGGCAAGGGGTCCCGAGGGAAACGGGTACGGCAGGCTCGTGTCATGACGACCTGGGCGTTGGCTCCTGACACCGCGGGGATCGTTTGGGGATGGACAGAATCCTCTTTAATAAAACGTGGTTTAGTGAAAACGACCTCGGGCCCAAACCTGGCGGGCGCAAACCTGGAAAATGACGGCCGCGGCGCCCTCTCGAGAACCGAAAACGAAGAATGCACTAATCGACGCGTTAGGGTGGGGGTTCTGTCCACCCCCGAATCGTTCAACCTTGAACGATCGGCGGTTTCCGAAACGTCGGATCGTTCAACATCGACCGATTCTGGGTCGCCAACGGCGCTCCACGTCGGACGCCCGGGGCGGGGTCGCCGCTGGCCGCCACGACGCGAACCTACCGCACTGGGCCCCGGGACTTTCGCCACGACCATTCCTCACCCCGAGGAGTTCTGTGGACGGCCTGGGGACCCCCGCGGAAGGCCCTCGGTAGGGGAGCGAAGAATGGCATAAACATAACAACTCGGAGGTCCGCGCCGATTTCTCGGATCGGCGCCAGACCCCCCTCCCTGGCGCGCGGAGCGTGCGAAGGGCGGCGCCGGAGGCGCCGCCAGGGGGGTCCAGCGCGGATCCGGGAAACCCGCGCGGACCTCCGAATTTCTATGTTTGTGTCATTCTTCGTTCCCCTACTCGGGGGGCCGTGGAGGGCCCTCCGGGAGCCCGATCCCGATCGCGCGGCAAAACTGAGCTTCTGAACCCTGCTTCCCGCGGGGCCCTTCGTTCCCTTCGCGGCGAGACCTCTGCCAGAGAGCAGGTCCTCAGCTCCTCGAGGCCGGCAAAGGCCACGCAGGAACCTGAGGGGCAACGATAGGGGGGGACTGCCAGAGGAAGGGACGCATCGACCTGGAATCGGGGGTACATCGCCGATAGATCGGCGACAGGCCTCCGACAGTGAATCCGCACCCTCCTGGGCAGGTTGGGGCGATCGGGCCCCTATCGGCGATAAATGGGCGATTGGGGGTCGATGCATCCACCCCTACGCATATCCCCCCCTATCGTTGCCCCTTAGAACCCAATAATGCTCTAAGAGCAACAACAATGTTCTTATAACATAAGCCCGATATGTTAAAACAAGACAGTCTCAGCCAGAAACATGTTTTAATATCATTTCCTGCACCCCACAATATGTTCTCAGAACATTCTTTGGTGGGCCTGTAGTCGTGCAAGGACGCTTCGCAACTGATTGAGAACCGCCGCCAGGGAGCTCGGCGATGAGGTGCACGGGCGCGCCGCGGGGGCCTGGGGGCGCCCCGTCGGCGCAGGGGCCCCGCAGCTGCTGGTGGCACATCTCTCCCGATTTCGCTGCGGCTTGCCCTTTTTGGGGGCAGAGGGATCTCCTCACGTGATGCGAAATTCCCCCCTCCCCACCGAATCCCCCTCCTCTTCCTCCTCCCTATACCCTCCTCCTCCTCCTCCTCCTCCTCCTCCTCCTCCTCCTCCTCCTCCTCCTACTCCTCCCTCCGATTCGCATCACGTGACGGATCCAAGTCGCCGACTTTTCAGTGCAGATGCCTCGAGCCGAGATGGCTGCAGCAGATTATCATTACGCCGGGCGTGTCACACCTACAGGCGTACCTTGGAAGAACAACTAAACACAGTCAAATAATACTCAAACATAGCCGAACATAGTGAACAAATCGTCCCCATATTATGTTTTTACTTTTTTTGAATATTCCTCCTGTAGAGGGACGGGCCCGACTTAAGGTTAGCATCGTTACGACTTCCACCCTGCTCGACCGTCAGTGATCGCGGCTTCCCGATCGCGCAAGATGGATCGACTTCGGCTGGTTCAAGGCTGGCGGCGCTCACACTTGTACGCGCGCGGGGGGGTCGTCCCCGCGTCTTCGAGGCATGAACCCCCCGTGTGGACAGGAAGGTGATCGTCTTTGTATTCGGCGTTTCGACATTGGGCGGAAGGGGGCGAGGGTGGGTCTTGCTCCAGACCTCTGCTTAATGGCGACTGTTTGCAACAGTGCGTCCTGTGGGGGGGGACTCCACCTGCTCGAAATAGGCGCTTCAGATCAGCCAAGATCTACTCCATAGGGGGGGGAGGGGGGTGCGAGGGCCCGCGCCGATCGGCAAAACAATGTATAAAAAACGCTCACAAGAGAAATCACTCGCACTGCACAAATGCTTACGAATGTGGGGCACGCTCCCATCCCCCTGTCCACGCCTCCCACTTCCCTCAGCCCTCAAATACCTCTCGCTTCAGCCTCAATCGCCTGTGTGTCAGCAAGTCTTCGTCCCACGCCTGGCTATTCGCCAGCGTGGCAGTGCGAGCCACCGCAGCTTTTTTTTCGGACCACGGGACGGGCCGACACAAAAAAAGCGGGCCAGGCAAGGGACAGACACGGGCAGGAGAGCGAGGAGCCGAGGAGCGAGAAACGGAGGGGGAGAGGGAGGGAGGACGCCCAGAAAGGACAGACCGAGCCGACGGACGGAGGGACGGGGAGACGGGGAGACCGGGCCTCGCCTCTTGTGTCTTCCTCCCACCTGCATGGCGTACGTTCACTCACGCCCCGCACCAACGTCTTGCCCTCACCCTCCCTGCATACCGCGCCTTCGTCCTCTCGGCCCCACCTTCCCCCCTCTTTCGGCGACTCCGAGGGGTGTTTGGATTTGGAGAGGGTGTGTTCTGCAACGCGCACCCTGAGGGCGGACGAGGACTTCGACAGAGTTCTCCGCCGCGCCCCGAGGGAGGCCCGACGAGGGCAACGTGGGGCCCCCGAGCCCCAACGACGCGGATCGCAAACCACCCACTTTGCAGACACCGACTCTTGCCCGCCCACCCTTCCGACGTCTATTCTCTTGATGCCGCGCTCCTCGAAGAAGGTGTCGGATTCCTCGCGGAGAAAGTCAGGGCAACCAGGATCAGCACGCGCGCCATCGCCGGGCAGAGAGGCTGCGGAGCCAGGGAGAAGTGAAGGGGGCGAGGAGGGGACGAGGGGAGGGGCAAAGAGGAAGGAGGGGAGCATGAACGAGGGTGGGATCAGTCAGCATCGAATCGGGACACCGGATCGAATCGAAGTGTGCATCGGATCGGGCCGCATCGGCACGGAGTCGGAACCGAAGCGGATCGGCCGCGCCAGGACGCACAGTAGCGCCGTGCGAGCATCGGGCCGCATCGGCTCGACGGCAAGTTGGGATCGGACCGGACCAGGCCGGGCGAGACCACCATCGACTCGATCGGTCGGATCGGAACGGGCCCTGCGAGGGAGGGTATAGGCGAGGGGGTGCGGGGAAGAAGGGGGGGAGAGGCGAGAGGTGCTGCCGCAGGGACCTGTCCGCGGCGCCGTGCCCCCAGGACGTCTGCAGCAAGGGAGCGGCCGAGGAAGACGTGCACCCGGGTCGAGTGCGCATCGCTCAACCGACCCCTGTCCCCAACGGCGTGGTCTGGGCCCCACTGGCCGACTCACCCTCCTAGATGGGGATATGGGCTGTTCCACTTGGGCTTCGAAGGGTGTGTCCCCAACTGGGGTGGTAGAGTGGTGGGGGGTCTGGATGGAAATTGATCATCGTTGCTCCGCGTTGCCTTGTGCTGGCACGTGGTGGATGTTCAGTGCCTCAGGTGTCATTCGCATGATCGTCCGGGCGCTGGAACTGGGAGAGCGCATCCGCCCCCGTGGCGCTGGCAACGCCCCGGGGCGGGCACAACGACACGACAGACCAGCGCCCCCGTCGGCAGACGAGAAGCAACGCCCAGTCTTCACGTGCTCTGGACGTGCACCCCGCGAAGCGAGAGGAATCCACGTCTGGGGGGAACGTGCTGCCGGAGGCAAGTCCGCGGATGCTGCAACGCAAGGCATCCCATCAATCCCAATATTGCACAAGTGCCATGCATCCCAGGATTATATCGCTGCTACACGCTATACTAGAAACATGCACATTTCGCGCACGCTTGGGTTCTAGCCGCGCCCGAGGAAGTCGCACCAGAAGTTGACAGTGAGGAGAGCAGGGGAGATTCTGGAGCTCCTTCGGGGGTGGCAATGGGACCTGTGCAATAGCAACTCAAGTTTGGGATCCCGGCGACGTGTAGGGGGTCTTCGGGCTTCTTTAACGTTACTATTGCGCTCCTCGTGATCCGCCCAAGGACCAAAGGAGGAGCTGACCTAAGAAGAAGGGTGCCCGAGTCTTACTTCAGAGTGCACGCCACCAGCCAGGACCAAACTACGGTGTATCGAAGGCTGCCCCTCTCTGACCACGCATCAGGGGCCAAACCACGGCACAACGAAGGCCAGGCACCCTCTCCAGGTCGCACTGGCAGGGCCTCAAATTGTTCGATGGCTTGACCTTCTCGGGGGCCGTATTCAGGAGCTCCCGGGCCACCTCTGGCCGTCGGGCCGTCTCAGAGCCTCCCAAACGCATGCTGCAGAAGTGGTCTTGGGGATGTTTGGGGGCCGCTTGGGAGCCGTCTTGGGGGCCTCCTGGGCCACGTTGGAAATCCTGTGGGGCCGTTTCGGAACCGGTTTGGGGAGCCTCTTGGCCTGTTTCGGGGCCCCCTTGAGGTGAGCGCCTCTGGGAGGCCCCCGCTCGGGCCGTCTTGGGCCCATCTTGGGCCCTCCCTGGGTCAATTTTGGAGCACTTTTGGGCCGTCTGTGGGGGCGATTTTGGGAGCCTGTCAAGCCGTCGTGGGCGCAATGAGGGGCGGACTCGAAAATACTCGACACAGAGATCCGCACATGTGCATCTCACAACTCCCGTCATGCTTCGCTGAGGAACTCTGATCACCGGCCCATAGCCAGCGTGCGGATCTTGTACAAGTTATTTGCATATTTGGTGCTGGGGCGCTTTGAGAAAACATTGAACAAACACCAACCTGAAGAACAGCATGCGTTCCGGGCCGATTACCGCATCGAGGAGCACATCCTGACAGCGAACATGTTCTTGGACAAGGCAAGGTCAGTTGGTGTCCCGATTTGGGCTGTGAGCTTGGACTTGTCGAAGGCTTTCGATCGAGTGGATTGGTCTGCTCTGTGGTCGGCTTTGCGCGGGCACGGTATCTTCGACCACCTCATATGGATACTGCAGGTGCTTTACGAGAACCAGACCAGGCAGGTGAAAGGCAACTCTCAACGCAGCGACCCTTTTGACATCCGAGCAGGAGTCCAGCAAGGTTGCGTTCTCAGCCCAAAGCTCTTCTGCTGCTCGTTGGAATGGGCGATGGCCCGCTGGCGACAGAAGTCCGGGACAGTAGGTTTTGATTTAGGAGATGGACTACGCAGATTACTGGATTTACGGTTTGCTGACGACGTTGTATTTCCCAACCATCCTGTGGTGTTGGGTCCTCGTTTTGAAGAGACAGCGCCCCGCGTTCTCCTTCCTCCCGCTGCCCCCTCCCTCCTGCCATTCGGCACACCCCTCACACGTTTCGTGGCCCCATAGGGAGCTCCACCGAAGGCCCCAGTGCCCGCGCCCGCATGCGTCACGCACACCCAATTCGGCACACCCCTCACACGTTTCGTGGCTGCATAGGGAGCTCCGCCGAAGGCCCCAGTGCCCGCGCCCGCATGCGTCACGCACATCCAATTCGGCACACCCCTCACACGTTTCGTGGCTCCATAGGGAGCTCAACCGAAGGCCCCAGTGCCCGCGCCCACATGCGTCACCCACACCCATTTCGGCACACCCCTCACACGTTTCGTGGCCCCATAGGGAGCTCCACCGAAGGCCCCAGTGCCCGCGCCCGCATGCGTCACCCACACCCATTTCGGCACACCCCTCACACGTTTCGTGGCCCCATAGGGAGCTCCACCGAAGGCCCCAGTGGCGGCGCTCACATGCGCATGCGTCCCGCACACCCATTTCGGCACATCCCTGACAAGTTTCGTGGCCCCATCATCCACCGGAGGCCCCAGTGGCGGCGCTCACATGCGTCACCCACACCCACCCAATTCGGCACACCCCTCACACGCTTCGTGGCCCCATAGGGAGCTCCACCGAAGGCCCCAGTGCCCGCGCCCGCATGCGTCACGCACACCCAATTCGGCACACCCCTCACACGTTTCGTGCCCCATAGGGAGCTCCACCGAAGGCCCTCCCGCATGCACACCCATTTCGGCACACCCCTCACACGTTTCGTGGCCCCATAGGGAGCTCCACCGAAGGCCCCAGTGCCCGCCCGCATGCGTCACCACACCCATTTCGGCACACCCCTCACACGTTTCGTGGCCCCATAGGGAGCTCCACCGAAGGCCCCAGTGCCCCGCCCGCATGCGTCACCACACCCAATTTCGGCACACCCCTCACACGTTTCGTGGCCCCATAGGGAGCTCCACCGAAGGCCCCAGTGCCCGCCCGCATGCGTCCGCACACCCAATTCGGCACACCCCGCACACGTTTCGTGGCCCCATAGGGAGCTCCGCCGAAGGCCCCAGTGCTGCCGCCCGCATGCGTCACGCACACCCAATTCGGCACACCCCTCACACGTTTCGTGGCCCCATAGGGAGCTCCGCCGAAGGCCCCAGTGCCCGCCCGCATGCGTCACGCACACCCATTTCGGCACACCCCTCACACGTTTCGTGGCCCATAGGGGGCTCCGCCGAAGGCCCCAGTGCCCGCGCCCGCATGCGTCACACACGGCACACCCCTCACACGTTTCGTGGCCCATAGGGAGCTCCACCGAAGGCCCCAGTGCCCGCGCCGCATGCGTCACCCACACCCATTTCGGCACACCCCTCACACGTTTCGTGGCTCCATAGGGAGCTCCACCGAAGGCCCCAGTGCCCGCGCCGCATGCGTCACCCACACCCATTTCGGCACACCCCTCACACGTTTCGTGGCTCCATAGGGAGCTCCACCGAAGGCCCCAGTGCCCGCGCCCGCATGCGTCACCCACACCCATTTCGGCACACCCCTCACACGTTTCGTGGCCCCATAGGGAGCTCCACCGAAGGCCCCAGTGCCCGCGCCCGCATGCGTCACCGCACCCATTTCGGCACACCCCTCACACGTTTCGTGGCTGCATAGGGAGCTCCACCGAAGGCCCCAGTGCCCGCGCCCGCATGCGTCACCCACACCCATTTCGGCACACCCCTCACACGTTTCGTGGCTCCATAGGGAGCTCCACCGAAGGCCCCAGTGCCCGCGCCCACATGCGTCACCCACACCCATTTCGGCACACCCCTCACACGTTTCGTGGCCCCATAGGGAGCTCCACCGAAGGCCCCAGTGCCCGCGCCCGCATGCGTCACCCACACCCATTTCGGCACACCCCTCACACGTTTCGTGGCCCCATAGGGAGCTCCACCGAAGGCCCCAGTGGCGGCGCTCACATGCGCATGCGTCCCGCACACCCATTTCGGCACATCCCTGACAGTTTCGTGGCCCCATCATCCACCGGAGGCCCCAGTGGCGGCGCTCACATGCGTCACCCACACCCACCCAATTCGGCACACCCCTCACACGTTTCGTGGCCCCATAGGGAGCTCCACCGAAGGCCCCAGCGGCCGCGCTCACATGCGTCCCCGCCACCCATCCCGGCACGCCCCTCACAACAACAGGTTTCGTGGCCCCATGGGGAGCTCCACCGAAGGCCCCAGTGCTGCCGCCCGCATGCGTCACCACCCGCACCCAATTCGGCACACCCCTCACACGTTTCGTGGCCCCATAGAGAGCTGCACCGAAGGCCCCAGTGGCGGCGCTCACATGCGTCCCCGCCACACATCCCAGTACACCCCTCACGCGCTTCGTGGCCCCATAGGGAGCTCCACCGAAGGCCCCAGTAGCGGCGCTTACATGCGTCTCCGCCACCCATCCCGGCCCCCCCCCCGCAGCAGCATCATGTTTCGGGGACCCATAGGGAGCTCCACTGGAGGCCCCAGTGGCGGCCCGCACATGCGTTTCCGCCACCCATGTCGGCACGCCCCGCGCGTGTTTCATGTCCCCATAGGGAGCTTCGCCGAATGCCCCAGTGGCACCCATCTCGGCACACCCCTCACATGTTCCGTAATCCTATGGGGAGTTCCATTGAAGATGAAACCCGCAGCTGCGGTACTGACAACTGCATATGGTTGGGTTCTTCGCCAGGCTAATTTTTGCCAGGTCACGGAAAAGGCTGCGATTCTTTTTGACGTCGCTGGTAGACGAACTCGCCGCAGTTGGCCTGATGCTGAACGCTGACAGAACTGTCGCTCTGACTACCGAGGCGCAGCCGCCGGACAAGCGTCTGCTCCCATCCGGTGTATGCATCAAACGTGTGAACTGGGATGCATATTGTCAACAGACGCTTTGAAGCAGGACCAAGAATACCACCTTCAAGCTGCTACGAGGGCTTTCTTCGCGAGCCGGTGGATCCTCACGGCGAAGCATGTATCGGTCGAGCTACGCTTGAATTATTTGCATGCTGTCATCACCCCGATTGCTATGTTTGGTTCTGCGCACCGCGTGATGTACGCAACCGACAGGAAGAAGCTGAACGCTGCGTGTCGCAAGCTTCTTCGACAAGTTGTCGGGCCGCAGGGCGGGGCTGATTGGACCAGTCCATGGCATGAGATTTTGAACATCTGGCACGAGCGTGTGTCCGACAAATTACAAACCACCCGGACCAAACTATGGTCGGAAAAACTGCTTGGACAAGACTGGAACTTCGCCGGTTACTTCGCAAACCTGCCCGCCGAGAGTTGGCTGATTATCTCGTGTTCTTGCCTGGTCACCTGCCGGAAACAGGTCCCAAGGGAGACCGCGGAAAACGTTGGAGTCCGATGTGCAGAGCTTCTGCGACAAGTACGGGATCGGTGACTGGAGAATAGCAGCCAGAGACGCACGTTCTTGGAAGTGTATGACCCGAGATTTCCTTCACCACATGAGCGCCTGCCAGTGTTCACCCGCCTGTGCCCGAAGCAGCCGCCCCTTCGCGGGCATACGGGCTTGACCTTGACCTTGGGAGGGAAGCCCGAAGCCTCAGGCTCTCAACAAGACCTTCGATGTTGCCCGTGCGAGGTGCTCGGAGTCTGGGCGGCCGTGAGTGGCCGCGGCGTCTCCTGCGGATGCGTATTTTCTGGTCCAGGGCGTCGGCTGGAGCACCCCTTCGGCCCTGGTGCCGCGGCCCTGCACGCTGGGGCGCGTGCTGACTGCGTCTAGACGCCCGCGGCGCTCGCGCCCCGTCGGCCCCAGAGTCACAATGCGGATCGGTGCACCACCTCTGCTCTTCCACTGCTTGCCCTCAACACCTGCACTGACCTCACTGTCGCAGCTGATGGCATGGCTCTCCTCCGCCTCCCCTTCCTCCTCTTCCTCTTCCTCCTCCTCCTCCTCCTCTTCCTTCTCCTCCTTCTCCTCCTCCTCCTCCTCTTCCTCCTCCTCCTCCTCCTCCTCCTCCTCCTCCTCCTCCTCCTCCTCATCTTCCTCCTCCTCCCCCTTCCCCTCCTCTTCCTCCTCCTCCTCCTCCTCCTCTTCCTCCTCCTCCTCCTCCTCATCCTCCTCCTCCTCTCCTATGACGCCCACGGTCGCGATCCGCCCAGGAGCTGCAAGAGCAGGGGCAAAGGGGCCTGCTCGGCAGGAAGACAGGAGCAGGCGGCCCTGGCACCTCGTGCTGGGCCATCTCTTGTGCTGATCTGCGTTCTTCCGGGCCTGCCTCTGCCAATCCCAAGGTCCTGATCCTCCTTCCCCATCCCAGTAGGGGGCAGAACCCCCCCCCACCACAATAATCACCCCGACAAGCGAAGTCGTTCAGTAAACGCACCCACGGAAGCAATCGAACAGGGCAGGGCTGTTTAGTAAAGGCCCAGAGCCATTTAGTAAACGTCAATTGTCGGGTCTGGGTAATTTTTCCTCCCTTGACCCTGTTCCCCGATCCTCCCGTCCCGGATCCTCCCCTCCCTTCCCCACCTCGATGATCCTCAGAACAGATTGGAAAAGACCTCTCAAGCTTTCGTCGGGCCTTCGCAGTGCTCATAAGAGCAAGAACGCAGCTGAGCACAGGAGGGCGTGCAGGCAGCTACGGAGCTCGGACATGCAGAAGCGAGGTGCGGACGACGCTGAAAAGCCCTAGGAGAGCAGAGCATTGACAGCGCGAGCACCAGCGTGTTAGCCCCAGCGTGTGTTTGTCCATCGAGGCCCTTCGATACGACGTAGGCGATGTAATGATCTACTGTTTGGGCTGAAGGGCGTAAACACACATTGGGCTAACACACGTCCTGAGGATCATCGACCATCCCTGGTCCCCGATCCTCCCGTCCCGGCTCCTTCGGCGTGTTGCCATACTGCATGGTGACCTGCCATCCTGCGCAGCGGAACGCTGGGGGGCACGGCAACGGCTTCGCCCCCTCGCGAGCGCCACTCCGTGGACAGTCCCCCTCCAGACACTTCCGCCGATCCTTGAGCGAATTTCCAGAGCAACGACGAGGAGAAGGAGGAGGAGGAGGAGGAGGAGGAGGAGGAGGAGGAGGAGGAGGAGGAGGAGGAGGAGGGGGAGGGGAGAGGGGGGGGGAGGAGGAGGAGAGGAGGAGGAGGAGGAGAGGGGGTAGTTGAGGAGGAGGAGGAGGAGGAGGAGGAGGAGGAGGAGGAGGAGGAGGAGGATCCGTAGCCATTTTGGCTCAAGTCCGGAGGCATTGCACAAGGATTTGTGCAAACTGGCGTGGGGAGTCTGCGGCCCCGCCTGCTTCGGTGCGTAAGGCACCACACATTTTTGGTACTGTACTGAGGCCTCTGTCCTCACGGCCTAGTGCGAATCACGGCTCAGGCGCGATGGCAGACTTCAGGCTTTGGGCTTGCTCGCATAAGAAGTGTGGATATCGATCTAACTACATGTCGCGGGAGGCCTGCCGCGTCTGTGGGCGGGCCAAGGGCACCACACCTCAGCCTCCGCGCGGCGAGCGCACGCTGGGGCAGTGGGTCAACGGGCCGCCTGCGCCCAAGCCAGCCAAGGCGCCTGGGCCGTCTCTCGACGATGGTCAGCTCGAGATCTATGCCAAGATGTCCTCTGCGGACTTTGCCAAGCTCTCTGAGGGGTGGCCCGCCAAGGCGGTCGGGCGCGTCGTGGCGCAGCGGTCTCTGCTTCAAGGCGACCCCATGGCTTCGGCAAAGTGTGCGAGAATCGAGCAAGACAGGCTTCATGACCAGCTGGCGCGGGCTCAGCGCAAGTATCACAAGGCCAACGAGGCCGCCATGGCAGCTGTTGCCGCCGCGGCCAAGGCCAAATCCGAATTTGATGAGTTGGACAAGCAGTGCAAGGAGGCGGCAGCCAGGGCCGCGCGCGCCTACTCCAGCATGGCGCCAGCGCCCGCCGCCGACCCAGTTGCCGCGCTCCTGTCGCTAGTGCAGGGTCTCAGCAGCGACGAGAGGCTCAAAGGCATCGGCGAGCAGCTCGGCGGTCTGTTGCCCGCCTTGCAGGCCCTCGTGCCCAAGCCTGAGGCCGTGCCCGAGGCGGCGGATGCTCCCATGGGCGGCGCTGCTGATGGCGACGGCGCTGCCGCTGCTCCTGGTGGCGGCGCTGGCCTCCCCCCTGAGGCTGGGACCGCAGGCGCCGCCGCCGCAGCTGCCGCTGCTGCTGCCACAGCCGAGGCTGATGCTCGACATGCTGCTGAACAAGCCCGCCGCGAGCAACAGCAGCATGAGCAGATGCTGGCGTGGCTCGAGAGCCAGAAGCAGCAGGCCGCTGGCGGTGCAAGCGGCTCCGACGCCCCCTTCTACCAGCAGGTGGCCGAGGCCCACGGGGTCAAGCACGAGCTGGTGGCAGGCATCTTCGACGCTCTCATGGAAGCTGCAAAGAAGCGACCTCGTCTTTGATGCAGTAGCCAGAGCTTCTCAATGTGAACCGTATTCAATCGTGACGTGCAATGTGACAGGTAAAGTTGGCCTCGAGGCGCTGCTGAAGCATTCCCGCGTGCGTGCTGCGCGGGCAGTGGCAGTTCAGGAGCATCACCTTCGGGAGCCTGAGTGTGTAGCTTGGGAGTCCAAGCTAAGCAAGATCGGCTGGCGCTCCTCGTGTTGCCCAGCTGTCGACACGCATAAGGGCGGCACCTCGGGCGGCATCATGCACATGGTTCCCGCGGCCGCTGGGCTCGCCGAGTTCGAGCTGGTGCCGAAGGTTGTTGCTGCAGGCAGAGCCAGGGTCATGCACTGCTCTGGGCTGATACCAGGTGGGTTTGCTCTCGCCACCGTCTACCTGCATCACAGTGAAGAGTTAGGCCCGCGAAATTGGAAGATCTTAGAGGACCTTGGCGGTGTCCTCAAGCAGATAGCGATGCCCTTCGTCTTGTGTGGTGACTTTCAGTTGCTGCCCGACACGCTGGAGGGTTCTGAATGGACAGATGGCATGGGCGCTGTCTGCGTTGCACCGAGCTGCGCCACTTGTACTAACAGTTCGGCGAGCGCAGGACGTTGCATTGACTACTTCGTGATGTCGCGGTCTCTTCACCATGGGGCCAAGGCCGAGGTGCTGTTCGACGTGGGCACGTCGCCGCGCTTCCCTGCGGTGCTCACCCTGCGGCCGCGCACCGAGGCCGAGATGGCGCATCTGGTGGCCAGGGTGCCTAAGCGGCTGCCGCAGGACGTGCCCATGGGCTGCCGCGCGCGGGACCCAGGCGACTTGTGGCAGCAGTACGGCCTACGACGCGATGGGCTACCTCTCGATGCTGCCTGGCGGCTCTGGCTGGACTTCGCGGAGTGCGACTGGGCGGACGTCTACGGCCTCGACCTCGAGGCTGACAGCGAGTACTTCGGCAGGTCTGAGGGCCCGCGCTTTCAAGTTTGCAAGCCTAAAGCCCCCAGGGACCTTGCTTTTCCTCGGTTGTCTCCAGGGGCTCTCTGGTGGCGTCTCCTCGCCCGATGTTTTGATGGCCTTGGGGTCTGGCAACCTGGGGCCCTCCGTTCGGGAACTTTGAAGTTGGCCCGAGCCTTGCCCGGCTTGGCCCAGAAGGCCAAGGTGGAAGCAGCCAAGTCTCAACCCTGGCTGCACCTGCTGGAGTATGCACGTGCCCTGCCGTACCCCCTAGCTTCTGCGCTCGCCAAGCTAGCACGCAAGCAAGCTGTCTCAGAGCATCGAGCGGCCGATAAGGCCAAGAATCAGAATTGGAAGGAGTGGGTGCAAGCGCACTCACTTAATGGAGGAGCTGCCCTGTACGCATGCAGTAAGCCAGCTACCCCCTGGCATGCCAGCAGTTTGTCCCCCTCAGGAGCGCCTGCCACCTTACAGGAGGAGGTTTCGCTTTTGGAGGAGGAGTGGGCTGGGTGGTGGAAGGTGGGCGCCCTCGAGGATGAGATTTGTTGGCCAGATTTAGGGCCAGAGTTTTCCAGGCCCTCCCTGGACGATTTGAAGAGATGTCTGAAGTCGTTTCCCAAGCGGTCAGGGTGCGGCTTCGACCAGATCAGCCCCAGACAGTTGCTTGTGCTCTCGGACCAGGCCCTCGAGGCCTTCCTGGACATTCTGGCTGGCGTTGAAAGCTCGTGCTCTTGGCCCACCATCTGGACCAAAGTAGTGTTTCTAGCCAAACGTGATGGGGGGCTGCGCCCCATAGCCCTCATCCATATTTTGGCACGCGTGCAAGGTAGGCGTCGGAAGCCATTGGTGTCTCAGTGGCAGGCTGCGCACGCGCGCCCATATTGGTGGGCCACCTCAGGCCGTAGCAGCGACAAGCTGGTCTGGGTGCAAGCCGCCTCGTCCGAATGGGCGCGCTCTCGTGACATGTGCAGCGCGCTGGTGCTGTTGGACCTTCAGAAGGCCTTCGAGCACATTAGACACAGTGAGCTGGTCAGGGCTGCGTCGGAGTCGGGGTTTCCGCTCCGCCAGTTGAAGCTTCTCGTCGAGCTCTACCGCCTTCCGCGGGTTTTGAGTCTGGATAACGCTGTGTCTGAACCTGCGTGCACTCTACAGGCTGTGCTGCCTGGCTGCCACTTTGCCACGCTTATGTTGCAGATGATTCTCCTTGGCCCTGTCGACAGGGTCGCGGATCGCTATAGGCTGGTGCGACTGGGGGTCGTAGTTGACGACTTCGGCTTGCGTCATGTAGGTCGAGATAGTGATGTCATTGCAGATCTCTCTGGTGCCACGGGCTTGCTGCATCAGGAACTTGAGGCCGTTCATCTTCCCGTCGCCCGTCGTAAGTCGAGGGTCGTTGAGTCGTCGCATCTGGTTCGAGCCTCCCTGGTGCGCAAGCTGGCCCGCTATAAGGTCAAAGGAGTGAGCCACGAGCGTAATCTCGGGATCGATTTTGCTGCTGCGCGTGTGAGGTCTCCAGCCACTCGTCACGAGCGCAGGGGCCCAGCACGTGCTCGGGCTCGGAAGCTTGTGAGTTTTGGCAAGCACATTGCTAAGCGCAGGGTTCACCACATGATTCAGTCCGCTGTCATGGCCTCCGTTAAGTATGGGGGTAGTGTGCACGGCACGAACTCAACTCTGTTGCGCGAGGCTCGGTCTTTGCAGGCGCACGTGCAGAGCAATCGTCTCGCGGGAAAAAGTGTCACTTTGCTTTTGATGCTGTCCGATAAGCCCTCCTGCGATCCAGCCTCTCAGCTGCAGCTGGATCCGCTCCTGGCCTTTGCCACTGCTGTCTGGGATGAGCTTTTGCCCAGGCGCGTTTTGGAGCAAGGCCTTCAGGAGTCCTGGCAGTTTTTCGGGGACCATGGGAATCCGTGGGCCGCCGTCCGAGGCCCTTTCTCGGTCTGTGCGGCCACTGCGAAGCGCCTGGGATTTTCCATGGATGGTTTTGATTGGGATCACCCCAAAGTTGGTGCGATTAGTGTGCGTGAGCAGTCTCCACGCACTGTCCGCACCTGGCTCTGTCGGGTGATTCAGGATTGGTTGTGGGCCAAAGTTGCTGAGCGTGAGGGTGTGCCTGAGCTGGCCAACGGATGCAACCTTGACCCCATCCTCTCTCTTTTGCGATCGAAGAAGCTCTCGCCTCAAGAGAAAGGTTACTTTCGATCTGTGATTGCTGGAGGACAGTGGCCACAGCACAGGCAATGGGAGTGCAATCTGGTTTCTCAGCCCACGTGCCTGGCCTGTCAGGATGCTCCAGGGACTCTGTTGCACAGGCATGGCGCGTGCGGCAGGCATGAGGAGTTTCTTCCCCACGAGGAGCCTCCTGAGTTCCTGCCAGGGTTGGTGCAAGCATCCACTTCCACCCTCCCTCGCCTCCTTGCTGAGAGGCTCCTCTGCCCTGCTGCTGCTCCCCCTCCCTCCCTCGAGCCTCCTGCCAGGTGGTTTTCGGGAGGGCCCACCGACATGGGGTGACATGTTTTTCTGGACGGATCCTGGATGGACCAGGACCTCCCTGGGCCTTC